ACCCCCCCACACACACACACAAATTTGCTTACAAAGGATGTGCTAAAACCACACCCAACTGGACCCAAGGCAAGGGCCCTGACCAAACTATTCTATTTTCCCAACAGTGGTACTTATCAACTATTTTATGTTAAGTTTTTATAGTTCTTTAAAATTCACCATTAGTAAGACATATATTCAGAATGGTTTCCTCTATCTTAAGGGTTCAAAATAATGTTCCAACCTTCCTTTCCAGCCTCAGCTCTCCATATTCCTCTTCTTTCCTTGCTTCCAGTTACCTGCCTTTGTCTTTTTATGCAGTAACAACTCCACCAGTAACGTCCTTCCCTACTACTCTACCAGGGATTTGGGGACCCACCAAATTTCACTTCATCTGTGAAGGTTCCCAGGTTCCCCTCGGAACAATTCATCATTTTTGCACCCGTACTCCTATATCATTTACCCAAAATTTCTTCTACTATTTAGTATATATTGTGTAAACTGTTTCTTTTTGAGAACTGGAATCAAATTTTATTTATTCTTATTTTGCTTTGCTTTAGTAGTCCATAATGCTTAGCACAGTGACTTGAAAAAAGATGTTATACATTTTTATTGCATGAATGAATGCTTGTGTACAAAAGTTCATAATTTCTAATTTCCATCAGCCTATAGCCAATGACACTCATAACTGAGATGATTAACTGAAATACAGTTTATGGACAAGAAAGATTATATTCACTGTGAATCTAGCTCAAAAGAAATCACATCTATAATTTTGAATTTTAAGACCATGATCTAAATAAAAGAACTATCTATATATGAAGCTGTTATAAAGGAATCGATCATCCCGAATCTAAGGAAAATACATAAAATGTATTACGTATCATTTATGTCAGTGGTAGTTAGGAATACTATTCTGTTAATTTTCATAAAATAACAATCACATGGATATACCTTTCCTGGAAGATATTTATTAAATGTTAAATCATCAAGGATTTAAAACTTGCTCACCAAGAAGACTTTAAATAAATACTAGTGACAATAAGTCTGCCCCATCCCTGGACTTACCAGTTAGATGAGTCAAACTTCAAAATCCTGATTTTACCACTTTGTACCTAGGTGAACTTGGATGTGCTACATAACTTTTCTGTGCCTCATTTGTCTTATCTGTAAAATGGGAGATAATATGAGTACCTACACCTCACAACGTAATATGAGAATTAGCATACTATTTCAACTTCTCCAGATTTTCTAAGGAAGTTTATTTGATTATGTGAGGTTGACTGCCTTATAAAAAAATTCCATCAGACATATTGAGTTTTCCAAATTGCTTTCCTCTATAGGTTGCTTCAAATTCTCAGCACAGGCTTTTACAAAGCCTGTAGATTGTATGTCTTTTGTGTTTTCTAAGTGCCCAATAATTACATTTTCAATGTAACAGTAGTGAGACAGGCAGAATTAGTGTTATCTACACCAACCAAAATTGAGATGAAAATCAACCTCAAACCAAGTCTCTGTCTACACTCCTAATCTTCACCTGCATTCCAGAACCAAATCCTCACCTGCTTACTACACATTTCCACTCTAACTACCATAAATTCATCATGTCCAAATGAAACTCCCTAAAACTAACTCTCCTGCTCCACCCAATTTTCCTGTCTTTATTAATTACACATCATTCTCCCAGTCACTGAGACCACATATGGTGGTGGCTTTTGACAATTCCTTCTCATTTGTCTTTTGTTTTCTGCCACATAGTTCTATAGGTTCATCCTTCAAAAGCTCTTCTGTTTCTATAGTGAACCTGTGTTGCTCCCATGTGGCCAGCACCCTTTCCTCTGGGGAACTACCTCTCTCTCACTTGAGGTGAGGCTGTCAGGCACAATATCTCACCCTATCCCCACTGAGAAACAAACATGCAACCCCGGGCCTGTCAATTCATGGTAACTCTTCCCCCTGGCAAATGTTCTTGTCAAAGACGTAGGTTTATGCTGCAAGTGGGATCAATCAGAATTCCTTTCTTAGAATTCATAATTAGGTATTATAATAAATTCTCTCTCTACTAGGATTGCTAATCTAGGAATTAGAGAATTTTCAGCTACCAGTAGGCTTCTTCCCAGCTATATGTGGGAAGCTTATTTACAGGAGAAACAGAATGAGATCAAACCAAAGAAGTCATGAGACTCAATATGGAAAGGAAGAGTCTTGCTGACATCTTTTGAGTCCCTGGAGCCAGCCATTCCTGAAGTCTGCCCCATCCCTGGACTTACCAGTTAGATGAGTCAAACTTCAAAATCCTGATTTTACCACTTTGTACCTAGGTGAACTTGGATGTGCTACATAACTTTTCTGTGCCTCATTTGTCTTATCTGTAAAATGGGAGATAATATGAGTACCTACACCTCACAACGTAATATGAGAATTAGCATTGTAAATGCTCAATAACCATTAAGTGTCAGTGCAATTTGTTGTTTGATCTAGTGTGAATTGGGGTCCTGTCATTTACAACAGAAAGAGTACTGATGATAGGTGTCAATTCCCTTTAAAAAATTACCCTTCCTCTGCCTTTCCATTATCATCATCCCTATGAGATTCCTGAGCGATGTTTTAGCTGGCATGTCTGATTGCTTCTTCACTCTCTACAATCCACCCAAATCACCAGTGCCACAGCAATCTGCACTAAACATGACTTGCATCATAGAACGTCCTTGCTCCACTTTCTGTTCAGACGCCCCTCCCTTGCTTCCAAGGTTCCACCTTACTTGTCCAACCTGAATCACCTCTTTCCCTACCTTTCACAAGAGAGTGCCTTGCCAATTCATGTCCCTCTGCCCTTTTCTCAGTTATTACCCTAACTCATCTCATCTTTTTCCCTCCAGATAATCAGTTTCAGTCACTCTCAGTGCAAGTGCTGCCTGCCCTATGATGCTCTCTCTGGCCATTTCACTGATTTCACACTCTTTGACATTCCAAATCATTTTCAATTCTTTACTACAGGCTGCAGTATGCAACTATAGACAATCCATATTGTTTCAGGTAGATCTAACTAATCCAACTAGAAAGTGAAGTTTTTAGGTTACATTTTTTGACATGTCCCCTAGTTCAGCAGTAAGTACACAATCACCATCAAAACAAATATTTTTTATAGGATCCAACCACAACACCAACCACCCCAATTTTTTTTATTCTGTAGTTTTAAGATAAATTTTTTCAAATTAAGATTACTTTTACTGGCAGTTACCTAATCTACATGAAAATACTCAATTCTGAGAGGCACATAAATAACAAAATAAGGCAATACACAATTTTAAGACAGTTGCATGTCTTTATTACATAAACATTGTAATATTCCTTGTGGGGAGTCGGTCTTCAGTTGCTTCTTGCTTTCACAGAATGACAAATATCTCTAGAAAGTGTCTAAGAATAATTTATGAAACAAACACTTCCCTACCCCACCAAAGAAAGCCTCATTGCCTACAGTTCCCAGAGAGATTCCTGAGAAAAATAATAAGTTTTGTTCATTCAGTGTAATACATAAATTTTCTTTCATGATATAAAAAAGGACAGACTTCTAAAATATGAATCTCCTTTTGTTTACAAAGTTCTATAAAAATACATTAAGTATGCTCATATGTTTGTCCTCTGATTTAACATTCCAGTTTACCAGAAACAAAAAATAGCAATACACAAAGATATGTAAACCACATTAATCTTGCAGCAAAATAATGTCAACATCATCATGAACACCTTGCAAAAGTAGCTCTCCTGGGTACGTAACAATCTTCCTTCGTTTTGCAGCTTTGAGAGTTCCTACCAATGCTTCAAAGAGGTTGGCACATTTGTCATCTCGGAAGAGGACCCCAAATTTCACACTTAACTTTCCATCAGCATCTAATTTGAGAAAATACAATGTTAGCAAATGCAAAGCCTGTTTCTTACCCCCATGTATGGCAGATTCACAAAATCTTTAACATACATCTAACAACTAACATCATACAGACTAACTGAGATTACAGTTTTAACACTTTACAGTCATAAATGCAATGTAGCTTCTTCCCAGATCCAAAAAGCGGTGGAATAAATACAATGCATTGTACACTTCCCAGTCTTAGCATTATCTACACAAAGACTGAAAGAGAACCAAGAAACATTTACAAAAGGCAAATGTGCTACAGTGCTAATATTGTAGATGAATTTCTCCCTGTCTCTCAATTTTGGTTTTTTAATTGTTATGTTAGTTGTCAAATTAATAAAAATAACAAATAAAAGAGAACCAAGGATCAATAGCAGTATTTCTCTAAGTGCGTTCTAAACATAGAATCCCCAGGGTGGGAGTGGAGGCCTTAAAAATGCATATTCCTCAGTCATCGTGACTACTGAATCGGAATTCCTGGTGGTACACCCAGAAATCTGTATTTAACAAGAACCTTAGATTATTTTGTCTGGAGGCCAGTTGTTAAAATAGACATGAAAAATTAAGGGAGACAAAAAGTAGACCTGCTGTTAAAAATTAAACAACTGGAAACTTGGAGATAAGGGTAATCAACCACTGATGGTTGACTCCTTTGATCTACCTGGCTGAAACCCTGACTCCTTCCTACCCACTGCTGTAAGTTCTTCCCTCCCAAAGCTGCACCCACCGTCAAGAACATGGCTGTCACAATGAGGGGAGGACCATTCCTTTACCAAGGTTTCTGAGTTTCCATGCTCCCCAGCTAGAAATTCCAGCCTGATGCTTAGTAAACACCTACCACAAACACAGCACTGTGCTATGCACTAGCAGCAGATATAAGGGAGTATAGAATCATGTTCTCACTTTCAAAGAAATGGCTTCAATTCCCATGATGAAATTAGAAATGTGCACACAGAAAGTAAAGCAACAGTATAAAGCAGCATGTGATTAGATATCAAATGAGCAGCTAAGACAACAGGTCCTACAGTTTTGGAGGAGGGCAAGATGACTTTGGGCTAGAATGATAAGGAAGACTTCCTGGAAGAAGTGTTACTTATTCTGGCCTTTAAAGGAGAATATAACACGAAGCTTTTTTAAAATCTGAACGTGCTGAGTTGAACTCTCTGCTACCTACTAGTTTGACCTTGGGCACTTGCTTAAGCTCCCTAAGGCTTGGTTTCCTCCTCTATAAACTGGGGATCTTAATACCTTGCTCTCAGTGCTGTTGGGGGACATAGGTGTAAAGCTCACAGCATGGTGCCCAGCACAGGCTGAACACCCAGGTGGTGATGCCAGGCTCTGTTATGAGTGAGAGAAATGGGGAAAGTGTGCCAAGCCAGAGGCACAGGTAAAAACAAGTTAGGTGTCTGGGGGAACAATGACATGAGTGAGTGATTTACTCACCTGAAGTAAATTAACTAAGATGAGAATGAAGAAAGTTTGTAAAGTGAAAAAAACACAGAATCTGACCATGCTTGGCCTGGAAAGCAAAGACGTACCTCTTTGATTTTTAAACTTCCAGCAGCACAACTGTCTGTCTGCACAGGGAATCTTTCACTGATTACAGATACAAGTGGAGCTGCTGGGTAACCTCGAGCAAGTCCTTCAAGCTCTCTGAGCTTCAAAGTTACCTCACCCATCAAATGAGGGTAAAATACCCCTCCCACGGTCATTGCAGGAATTACAGATATAATACAGGCAAAGCCTTTTATAGCATGCCCAAATTACCAAATACAAAAGCCTTTTACAGAGCGCTCAATTTAGGTTAAATTATTTTAAGGCACCGAAGGCAGAACCCTGGTGTGATCTTGGAGTTCTCCTGCCCCCCCACCTGTCAATCTGACAAATGTCCAGTTGATTCCACCTTCTTGTGTCTTCTGTAGCTCTAGCCTCTCCTCTCCAACGACAATCAATTCCCTGATTCAGGCCCTAATTGTTTCTCACTGGGATAACTGCAAGCTGGTGACAGATAACTCTTTACCAGCCTCCTTTTCTCCATGTTTGCCTCCCAATATATACTCCACATTGGTGTGGAATAAAAAATACAGAAGAAACTTTACAAATAAGATGCAAACCTGATTTAATCTTTTATGGCTCCCTATCACCGTCAAAATAAAGTGAAGTCTGTGGCCTCACAGATAAAGCCCTTCATCCTCAGGCCCTGGCATCCACCACTTGCCTGGTCTTCCATGTCACTCCATGTACCTTTTGATCCAGTCATAATGAAGTGCTTGCTGTTGCCCAAGGTGACATAAGATATCCTGCCTTCATAATTTTGCCCATATTGGGCCATCTGCCCAGCATTTCAGGCCCCCTTCCCCAGCTAAATTCTCTTACTTCTAAGAACGGACTTAAATGTCACTTCCCCTGAGAAGTCCTCCATGATTCCCTCATTTGAATTAATAACTCTTCTTATAAAACTGAATATCTATCAAAGCACTCACCATCAATTATAGTAACAATAGCTAACATTTACTGAGTACTTGCTATGTTCCTAAAACTGTTCAATGCATTTTACAGTCATTAAAATTCACTTAATCCTCATTTCATTGAAGATAAAACACAATTGGTTGCAAGAAATACCATTATTTTATATCTCAAGTAAACTGTCACTTTAACTATAACACACTATGAATTATAAGATAAATCCTTGTTTTAGAGATTTTAAAATGTGAAAAAAGTGAGTATTATTACTATTATACAAATAAGGAAACCAAGGCACAGAAAAGTTTGGTAACGTGCTGAAGGTCACACAGCAAGTACATAGGAGAACAGGGATTCATTCCCAGAGTGTGTGACTCCAGAAACCACGCTCTTAACCACTTCCTAATAAACACTTCCAGTTTGTCTGTCTTCCAGCTACCTAAAGAGGACCTCAAGGACTGAGATGGAATTTTGCTTATTTTTCCATCTCCAGCACTTGTGCACAAAGGAGCACTCAAAAAGTATTGGCTGAATGAAAGAATTTAAATCTCCAATAATCTTTCTCCACTTAATCTTTTTTCACTGAATCAAAAATAGGACCTAAAAAGAACCAGAAAAAACTAAATTCATCAATTTCCAGCTTGAGCTCACACATCACATATAGATTAGTCAAAATTACTGCAGACAATTTAATGAACCATAATGTGTCGGAAAATAGCATATCTACATATATGCTCTCCAATTCAATAAATCATCTTTTACCAGGCACAAGAAAGTCAAGGTGTCCTGGTGAAGCTGTAAAATTCAAAGTATTTTAAACTTATAAAAGTTAAAACTGTCTTATAGTCTTCCAAATCATAAAGCTGCTAATTTTCAAGTGGAGTTTCAGTATGCTCTAGTAAAATACTGACTCTTCTAGGGATGTAAATAGAATTTTAAAACCAATTGAATCTGACCAATCAGCACTAGGCTGACATGGATAAAGAGAAGTAAAGCCTACAAATCTCTGGAAATATGCCTTAATGCCTTTAACAATCCAAGCAATAGTACTACTGCCAAGAGTAATCTGACCTCACTGAGCTCAGGAGAAATCGGGAATATGGGAGGAGGAACACCAATAGGGGCACTACTGTTGAAAATAAGACTCGCCCAACTCCCATCAAGTGGGTATGGTGAAGTGGGTGGGAGAAAAATGGGGATCGGAAAGATTGCTCATTTGTTTGACTGGGAAACTAAATAAATTACATTCTTCAATATCTTCTCAGTGTTCCCTGCAAATATCAGACTTATTCCCATTCCAAATTCAATTCATGCATTTCTCCCTAAACTGACCGGCCCTATACTTCAAAGTCCTACCTGAGATTCAAGGCTTAATTAAGTGCCCCCAACTACTACAGATTTCAAGAATCTATTTCACTGGGACCATAGTGAATTGAATGTCAGCATTTCACAGTTTAGCATACCATTTTTTTTGATAATTTCCTCACGAGTTTTAATGTATTTTCATCAACTAAACAGTAAGATCCTTGAGTGACATTTTATATCACTTGTACTTACACAGTACTTGGCATTGACAGATGCTTAACAAATATTACCTGACTATATGATTAAACTCATTTGGTTGCTGAGTCCATACCAACTTGTATATGCCTCATTTATCTTTTCTTGGTATATTTCAGTAATGATGACTCAGGTTCGAGGTAGAAATGAAGTAACTAAAGAAGACCCAAAAGAGGAGGTAAAAGGAAGAATAACTGCTCCAAAAATATCCACGTACTCATCCCCAGAACCTGTGACTATGTTACCATACGTGGCAAAAGGGACTTTTCAGATGTGATTAAATTAAGGACCCTGTAATGGGGAGAACCCGGTTATCTTCTTCAGTGCACTGGGGAGGAAGAGGCTGAGGAAGCAAGTGGCTGAGGCGAAGAGGAAGACTGGTGTGGAGGAGGAGGAGGAGGAGCAGAGTGGGGGGACAGTAAGAGTTTATGTGCTCAGGAAAGGGGCCGCCCACACTCCCGGGGAGGGACAAGCCTCTGAGGAGGAAACTCGAGGGAGGAGACGCTCGAGAAGAGGGCAGACTGCAGACAGGTGGCGGGGCGCCCGGGGCTGCCAGGAAAACCGACCCAGAGCTCCGATGACAGCCACCTTTCCTCCGCGCGACTCCAAGCTGGTGATCCCCACTTCCCTGCATCTGATCCTGGGCGTTGATTTCCTGCCAGGATTTCTCTCCCAGAGTAAGAAACAAAGCGCCCCCAACGTGCTGAATGCTCAGGTCTCCTAGGAAGAACGTGACATTCTAGATTGTCTGGGTGAGCTCAATATAATCACAAGGATCCTTAAAAATGGGAGAGAAGGCAGAAATAGAAGACAGAGTTATGTGATGTGAGGACTCAGCCAGCTACTGGTAGCGAGTTTTGAAGACAGAGAAAAGGGATCATGAGCCAAGGAATGCGGGCAGCCTCTAGAAGCTGGAAAAAGGCAAGGAAACGGATTTTCCTCTTGAACCTACAGAAAGGAACATACCCTGCCAACACCTTGATCTTAGCCCAGCGAGACCCTTGTTAGACTCCTGATCTACAGAACTGCTAAGATATAAAATGTGTTGTTTTACGTCACTAAGTCTGCGGCAATCTGTTACAGCAGGAATAGAAAACTAATGCAGGAGACATTTGAAATTAATGACTTACTGGAATTTTCAAAGTGTTTCCAATTATGTCAAAGCGTTTGTGATTCATAAGCAGACAAAGCTTTAGGTAAGAAGAATCAAGCTATTTTTTTTTTCCTTTTTTGTCTTTTTTCGTGTCCAGCAATGGATCGCAACCCTCAGTGTCGCGCCCGTACCGGACCGGGACCGGCAACGGGATCGCAACCCTTGGTGTCGCACCCGCACCTCGCTCAGCCAGTGAGCAGGAACCGGTCTGTATGTGGGATCCGAACCCTCGGCGGGAGCGCCACCGCGCTTCCCAAGCGGCGCACTGTAGCAGTGCGCCACCGGGCCGGCCCAATCAAGCTATTTTTAAAGCTGTTTTTCACTTACGTGATGTAATTTTAAAACTTTGAGTTCCATTATCCTAGTTGTTGCTGAATATGTCTCTTGTTATTATTTTCAAAATGCTCCCCAAATTCTTGCATATCCTGTCTGAGATGTACCAAACACCTACAGCTACGAGACTAATAGTAACTCTCACTACAACTTAGGAACAATACATTAATACTACCAGTTTTACATGTCACTGTCTTCACCGTACCTGCCTAGTTGTTGCTGAAGAAAAAGATGACTTAAAAAACAACCTAAAGTATGGTTTATTTTCAGTTAGAGATACATAAATACTTGATTATACAAAACACAAGAATTTGGAGAAAAATAAGGACAATTTAGCATAATTTCAATCTAAGTCCCTAGTCATTTGGAAGTTTGTAAAATGATGGCGGCATACAGCAGAAAACAGGAATTTTAACAGTGTGACAAATAAAAATCGGAACACAATTCAATTACTAGATTTCAACGCAGCCAGATGAAAGAAGCCCAGCAATTTTCTTTCCATTCGAAGGATAATGAAATATGAAAACCTTTCTTTGCATCAGAATCACAATACCCTAGTAGCTCTATGTCTCCAGATGTCACCTCATGGCTAAGGGCAGTTACCACCTTCACAGATTTCTTCAGAATGCCAGTCCTGCTTTCTCTGAGGTAAATACTCTACCTGGGTTAGAATACTTACTTTTTGAACCCAAACGATGTATTTCCTCCACTAAGAGGTTAACCTCATGATCCACATTCATTGCTGTCTGAGAAAGAAAAATCCTTTATTATTATCATTTCGACATTCCAGTAAGCACGTCCAAATCCAAGGGTCCTTTCTTTTTTCATGTAGCATTTTTCCCTATTAATTTACTCTTTCTTCCTAAAAATACTTCGCTGATATATATGGCACTAAAGTATCCCCATTTTCCCTCTGCCTCTATAACTGCCCCTCTCAGCTGCCCCCACTCCTGTTCTCAGTCTGCCGGCGAGAAGGCCGCCGTTCTCTTTGCACCCACTATTAACTCTAAGCAGGCCCTCTTCATGGTGCCCTGAAAGGTACCAAAAATACAAAAGGTGAGTACTACAGGATCTGCCCTTAAGGAGCTCACCTTCCAAAGGCAAAGAAAGGCCTGGAATGAATAGCAATGTGACAGCACTCTTTGAGAGGTGGGTCCAAGGCATTATAGGAACACAAAGAAAGAATCTACAGGAAGCTTTGTGGAGGTCACTGGGAAGAGTGGGCCAGGCAGGCAAGTGGGAAAGGGTGTTTCTGAGGAAGGACATAAGCAAAAGCATGGAAGCAAGGAGAAAACTGTAGCACGTTTGAGGCAGGCCCTGAGCTAGGAGGACACCAAGATAAAGTGACATACTCCCTGCTTTTTAGGAGCCTCCAGTCTAGTGGGAGAGGCAGACAGATACAAAGGCAATTTTAATACCCTCAGGTCAATGCAGTGAAAACTTCTGGGTCACATGCAGGGGCACCATGTCCTTCTCTGGGCAGTGCCCAGTAAATCTGACTGCAGTGAAGAGCTGGTGGTGTAGACCATTCATCTTCGGATAAGGAGGAGTTCAGAACGTAACAGGAGCTGAGACTTACCGTGGCTCACCAAGTCCTCCATGTGCTGGGTTCTGCCCACCGTTCCAGCCTCCTCCTCTCTTGAACACTAGGCTACAGATACATGGGGCTTCTTTTTATTCCCCAAGTGCCCCTCACCTACAGCCTTCACACATACTGTTTCTTTGACTTTGACTCACACTCTCACTATTCCTCTTTCTTGGGGCTAACTCCCACACATCCAGTCCCAGCTTAGATATAACTTCCTCCAGGCAGGCTTGGATTAGAAGAACTCCCCCACTGTGTGTTCCCATAGGATGCTGTGCCCTTCTTCATTCCACTTGATTGGTATCATGGCTTTATTAGCTTTCACCACCTGATTGTAAGCACCTCTCTGCAGGGATCTGACTGACCTGCTCCCTGCTATATACCACTTCTGGCACCCAAGTGCAGAAGTTAAATAAATTTTGGTTTCATGGACTGAAAAGAACAATCAAAGGCATGAGAGGGGATGGGACTATACCTGCAGCAGGGTCAGAAAGTATGAGCAACTGGGCAGAATATGCATCCATTCAGTCTGTTTTCACATCATAAGTTCTTCAAATCAAGTAAAGCAGTGAGAAAGTGGGGTTGTGTGTATGGTTTCCTTTGGGTTGACAATTTGGAAGAAATAACTTTAACCAGATGGATTGTAACTAATTGCTGGTAGCTTTTAAAAACAAGAGTGACATCTACGACTATATACCACCTGTTTAAATGATATTGATTGGGACACCAGATTTTCTATCAGCTAATAATTAAAAGTGCCTCTACCATCTGCTACATTATTTGTGTAAATATTATAATGTAAGGACCTTGTATTGCAATAAAATGCAAAATCTTCAATGAAACATATCTACACAAAAATATCAAAGATTATAGTGTCCAAATATTGGGAACTTTGTGTTGGTGAAATCACATCTATAACATCATATGCAATTCAAGAATTCAAGACATAGTTGAAGAGATACTAAAAAGGCACAAAATACTCAAGAGGACACAGCCACTACACTTAAGGCCTGAAAACCATGCTGTGAGAATAATGGTAGAAAAAAAGCTGTTAATGTCAGTGTGGTGAATAGCTGCTGTTTTTAACTGCCTAACACTGGTTCCCCATTCTGGCACCACCAGTTTAATTTTTGTTTGGAAAGAGCCTTTCTTTCCTTACTCTAAACCCATGTATCTTGGGTAGAGCCTCATCTGGGCTCCAGAAGTGATTCAGGCCCAGAATTATTGGTCTGAGGCAAAAGGTAGGTGATCCCATCCAGATCAGTAAGGGTTAGCCCTCAGATTTTGCTAAAACTTTTAGTAAAATGACACTCTCCTTCCACTGGGGTCTAAGTTTACAGCCCTTGATGAAAATGGGCCGGCCTGGTGGCGCACTGCTACTGTGCGCTGCTTGGGAGCGTGGCAGCTTTCCTCTGCTCCCACAGAGGGTTTGGATCCCACATACAGACCGGCCACTCACTGGCTGAGTGAAGTGCGGGCGCAACACCAAGGGTTGCGATCCCGTTGCCGGTCCCGGTCCGGTACGGGCGCGACACTGAGGGTTGCGATCCGTTGCCGGTCATGAAAAAAGACAAAAAGGAAAAAAAAAAAAAAAGAAAGAAAATGGTCACTGCGTGGAAAGAGTCTGCAAAGAAAAACTTATACCAAGAAAAAGCCAGCCATATAACAATGATTGAGCCCGTACATGAATGTCACTGGACATTCCAGTTAAACAAGCCAATAATATATTTCCTGTTTTTTTTATGCTGGTTTGATTGAGTTTCTATCACCTGTACTCTAAAGAATCTTGACCTATAAAGGTAGCTCAGATCTGCCACTATTTTTAAAAAACTAAAGCTCTTTTAATGTACTTATGTAAATAATCTTGTTTTGTATTGCTCTATTGGGTAGAACGAACAGATGTTTAAAAAAAGAGACAGATTTGGGAGCCATGTTTAAAAAATTCTCTAACTGAGCAGGGCCCACACCAAGTTTAATACAAAAGTAAAAAAAAGACAAAAACATTCTCTTACAATCAAAAGTGCCTAACAATAAATAAGGTTTGCACCCTATTCCTGGAAGCATACATTCAGAAGTAGTAAGGATCTGTGAGGGATGATAAGGAAATTAGCTTGCACTGGACAGAAGAGAGAATGAAATGTCCAAGGAGATTAAAGATCTCTCCAATTCTCAGATACTCTGATTCCTCCCACCCTGATAATTTAGCTCTGTAAAACCATTCTCTACTCCTTCCACTCACCACCAGATCTTCAGATCTAGCTCTCCTTTAATAATGAGAATCAAAGAGGAAATTCTTCTATTCTGTATAGTGTGCATACCTGCATTCTATTAGGCAGATGTGTGCTCATCCAATTTTAAGAAGGGAAGGTAACCAGCAATTTTTTTATAATTAATTGTACATCAGGTTGCTTTGCCATGTTGATTCATGTAATTCTAAGAACCTTGCAAAGTATTTATTATTTATCCCCATTTTGTGGATAATAAAACAGACTCGCAGGGATTAACTCCACAGAATGAATGCTGCTTCTACCACATCATTCTGGCCCTTCTTCCCCCTTCCTCTTCTTCTTTTGCTGTTATGCAAATGCACTAAATATAACAGTGAGTTGTATTTGTATGAAACATTACATGCTGAGTACTTACTAAGGCAGAACACTTACAAAGCAAGAAAGGCTCCCTGCCTAGACCCCTATAAATAGGAAAATAACAGGTTTAGAAACTATTGCTAGCGTACATAATGCGGCATGCTTTATTTACTTATTTTACTATTTAAGGGGGAGAGGAACAAAGGGGATGTGCCCATCGTTACACAATCTTTGGAAGTCCCCGTCCATTTTATAAGAGGGACAAAAGCATGGGACTGGAGTGCGCAAGATCAAGAACAATGAGGAGGGGCCCTAAGCAGAGCAAGTCCAAGGGGAAGAAAGAGCTTGTCAGTGACAGGATCAACCAGAAGAAAGGAAGAGCAGTTCAAGGGAAGGCGACGGCAGATGCTAGTCGAGCCCTCTAATTGTCACGGAATCTAATTAGGCTTTGTGCGTGGGAATCACAAAGAGCGGAACGCCTGAGGACTGGGGCACAGGCTGAAATGCTCCACCGTCCGATACACACTAAGAATATATTTAAAGACACTCTCACAGTGGTTGTTTTTTAAAGTTTGGAGATAAGACATGGAGATTTTCAAATGCTCAAGGAAACGGAGCCTACTGGCGTGGGAACCTCTGGGAATCGGGAGCCAACTTTAGATACGAGGACTGGGCACCTTTTCCCAGCCTTCCACCGCAGTCATAGAGTAGCAGCTGGCGCGGGTCGGAGGATGCCTGGGTTCCTTCCTCCCTCCCCGCTGGCGCGCGCACGCTCCATATTTGGTCATCTTTGCTCCGAGTTTGGGGTCCTGCCAGGGAGGGGTCCCGAAACCCTCCGTCCTGCAGGCCATCACACGTCACCACCGGCACCGGTGCAGAGCTGGGGAGCGCCGCGATCGTCCCCTCGTTCCGGGGCGGTACAACGGGCTCCCGGGAAGTGTTGCGTCCGGGAAGCCTTTGTCTCCACAACTCACCGGCCCGGGCTCCCCACGGCCCGGGCGCCCCGGCGCGCCGCGACAGCGAGCGCCCAAACCGGGCGACGAAGGCGGACCCTGCCCAGGTCTCCATGAACCCCTCGTGTCCCCTCACTGTCCCCCACCCCCAGATCTGGAGCGCACAGAGCCGCACCCACCTCCAGCGCTGCAGAGGCCACTGCCCTGAGGCCATCGAATTCCTCGGGGCAGCCTCTCCCTTCGCCCCCAGCCCCTCCCCACCCAGCTTTGCAGAACTGGCTGCCCAACCAAGGCCAAGTGCAAAGCCGACATGCTGCACCGCGGTAAAAAAAAAAAAAAAAAAAAAAAAG